TCGTTAAGTTTTATATCATTATTCCTTGTTGTGAGCACATCTACGGTACTACTCTAACCAAGAGAAACTTAAAACGATCACTTTCACTCATAATTTGTCATTATCATCTTTAAGATAAATTGCCCTCCATTTTCAGTTGTATAGAATAAACCAACTCGGTCGCGATTTCGTGTTCGGGTAGATTTTATCACTTGTTAGCCCCCTGAGAAACCACATGACATCGCCTTTATCGCATCAGTCCTTAAGCTCGAGTCAAGATGGCGCGTATCGTGAATGAGGTCTATTGACTAAGATAGTGAACAAAAGACTGACCCTCAGTCCGTGGAATACCCGCATGGACTACCCATATAGACTACGCCACTAAGTTTGGTGATTAGGGTTGGGAAACTGTGTGAATCAGGTTCCATTTAGGGTAATTATACTGGGAAAACTAACCTGAAACTTGATTCAAGCAGTTTCCTATTCCTACTCATCAAACTTCTGCGGCGTGGTCGCATTTAAGTAGTCCATGGACCGGCCGGGGTCACTGTTTTGTCCACCATTGACTGATCCATAAAATAAGCGCCCCAAATCACTGTGCGTTTCTCTCATCCTAACCTTTATAGGCCTGTTAATGATCTCGGTAGCGCCGTGATCTCAGTAAGCAGGCCGGCCTACCTTCTCATCTAAACACTGGGAAAATTTCTAAAAAGAGGAAATTAGGAACCAGCCGCGCCAATCTGGAAAAGCAGGCTAGCCCGGCTAAAAAACAGACGCGCGCGGGTCCCAGCTAACAAGATTTTACTGATCCAGGTCTACTAAAGATCCGGCGAACCCTCAGTGGTTTGTCGTTGTGGTTTTGCCTTCACAAGTATTTCCCAGCTATCAAACCAGGCAATTATGTTTTACTAGCTATCTGCACTAGCTATTGAATTATAGAACTTGAATATAAACAACAACAGGAGAAAGCAGAGAGAGGGAACTCGACCGAATGTTCGTTCCTAGTCTCCTACGTATACGCGGCCCGCAGCATGTACGCAATCGCAGCTGTTCTCTGTCCGTCACGCAACGCTCCGCAATACTTGGCCGGCCTTGATGACCGTCCATCGAAGGAGCGCTAAGTTACTTTGTCACAACCAAAGTAATGGAGCTGCAGCCGCTATCATCCTCACACGAAGCTTATCATGACGCTTTCCAAACGTACAGAGCCAAATCTACTTTAAGAGAAGTAGTTATAAGTTACTCTCGCCAAGCAGCTGCTCACGTCATACCTAAGCTGATCACACATGATGCTCCGGTGTTTCGAATTCTTGGAGTTGGAAGCGGAGATGGAAAGGCCGACTTGGAAATTCTCAAAGCTGTTGCAAGAGGCCTCCGTTCATTGAAAGATAGAAATTGTAAACCCCAGATAGCTGCTTGTATAGTTGAACCCAGTTCTCTTTTGATCGCAGATTTCAAGCGATCGGCATCGACATTGCCCGAGGAGTTAGCGAATCTGGCTGATGTTTCATTCAACTGGCAGGAAACCACTTTTGATGGTTATATATCTGAGTCTTCTTGGACAAGCGAACTGATCAACTTGGCACATTTTGTATGTTCTTTGTATTACATGGATGCTGAAGAATCCCTTAAGAGCTGCTTCAAACTTTTAACCCCAGGAGGGGCAATGTTTTGCTTGGTGATCAAAGAAAATTCGTTTTTCGATATATTAGTGAGGCAAGGCAACTTGAAACGTCTGCCAATTCCTGGTTTCTACACCGGGCAAGATGTTGTTGTAATTGCTGAGCGGAACAACTGGAAGCACGAAGAACTGCCGATGACTCATTACGAAGTTGACATCACAGACTGTTTCAACGAATCTTCACAGACTGGAAGCTTGCTTTTGGATTTTCTGTCACACACAGTTAATTTTAGAGAATTGGCAGATCCAGCGTTGTATAAAGAAATGATGGATTTTATAAAAGAGGTTTCCTCGACGGACAGTAAAGGAAAGATGATACTTCGACCTCAACTTAGTATTGTCGTAATCTACAAGTGAATACAGGTAATATCTTGTAAATACCGTACTACGTGTGATTCGAACTTCATTTGTCGCGCTATAAATCTTGTTCAGCTTGGGTCTCTCGATGTACTGGTCAATAACAGGTCGAATAAATTAGTGTTTTGAAGACATGAATGGCTCAATTGAAACTCCAAATGCCGAGATTTTATAGTAGAAAATATCGCACTCATTCCCAAATCGGCTTAAGGTAGCTGATGAAGCGTGACATGAATGTTTGAATTTAAAATCTTGGACTGGACTAATAGTACGTTGGATCAGTCACACCTCGCTGTTACCTAATTGCGAACATAATTTTAAATTTGACATAACTGTAAAAGACATTTTAAAAAAAATAACTTAACAGACAGCATTTTTGCGAATTTATACATCAATTCAAGTGTCATTAGCCGGGCAGTCACCTCAGAAACCTTTTCTGCATTCCTGCTGTGAAAAACAGATCCGTTGCTACCCGAGTCGATGCTAGTCTCTTTGGTAAATAAAGAGCTGTGTAAATCAAGTAACGTGAAGAAAGAAGACACTTTACCAACACGTTTAACAGTGAATCTCAACTAAAAAGTATTTGCATGTGTACAATTTAGTGCAAGATGACCCCACCATATAAAGAAGAACACACAGACTGGTTTACAAGTCTGGAGCATCTTTTAGAAGAAGACGATATTTTAAAATGTTTATCTCTCTAGGCAAGAACTGTGACCCTGTATAGTATGTCCTGTAGGCGACCTAAGGGACGGACCATAAGAAAAGTGATGGGGGGGGGGGGGAAGGGAAAAAAAAAAAAAAAAATTAAAGTAAGGGAAAAAGCAAAAAAAAAAAATTCATGCAAAAAAAAAGGAAAAAAAAAAAAATCATAAAAAAAAAAAGACAAAAAAAAAATTTTTAAAAAAAAATATATTTATAAAATAAAAAAAAAAAAACAAACACAATACCT